TGCAAGGCATGAGAGTTACTTACCAAGTGATCCACGTGATAAGAAAGATCCTAAGAAAGAAATAAAGAAAGATGTTAAGGCAATTAAGTCCAAAGAGGTAATGACAATTTCCCACTACCTTTACAAAGATAGCCTTCCAAAGGTCAAGATCAAACCCAAAACCAAAACCAGGGTTCAAACCTACCAAGACTAGTTCAAAGCAGATGTCATGTGACTTTGAAAGAACTTGAAGAGAATGAGTACATATTCTCAGATTCTGAAGTTTTCGAAATTCTGGATCAACTCCTCGAATAGAATATAATCGAACTTCTGGCACCAAAGAAACTTGAGGAAGTTAGTAGGGTTGATCATCCTATATATTATAATTCCATATAATCATTGGTCACTCGGTGGAAAAATACTTTGTACTGAAGGATTTTATTATTTGCTTGGACAAAGAAAATATAATCACATTTGAAACTGGAGAAAACCCAACAGTCGTGTGTTCAATGGTTTTGTTTGGATCGTTTGGTTTCTAATTCGGAGTCTGAAGACGAGATCGGTGATGGTTGGTCTACCTTTATAAGTAAGAATGAGAAATATCAAGTGTCAAACAAAATATGTAAAATACCACTTTCTATACCTCTTGCAAGTCCGAAATTGGGGGCATTGGGTATGGAAGTTCAACCTAATAAAAATGTAACACTAGAAAAAAGCCAGGGATGATGGATATTTGTAAAAAGACGTCATCGAAAGACTCCACAATTTTCAAGTTTTAGTATTTGTGATGAGAAACTGAGACTAAGAAACAATCAAAGGAAAATGTCTAAAGCTAAGTCAGGAATGTCTACTAAATCAACAAGAGAAGAAACTGTTTCACAAGTTCCTCCTAGACTACCAACCTTGGGTGATTATTTTCCTAAGGGATTTTTCGACGATGAATGTTTTACCTCAAATGTTATCAACGTGGAGGATAAAAATGAAGCAAAAAAGTACCAAAAGAGAGTTCAAAACAGAAGAGAACTACCTTAGGACTCAATAATATTCCTTCTAATAC